CAGGTATGCAACACCAGCCGACGTTAAAAGTCGCAATGTCAAGTGCCACCGGGTTAATCCATCGTATATACATTGTTACGCGGAATTTAACTTTCGGGCCCCGGGCAGCCGTGTGACCGTGGTCCGCCGCGAAGAAAGCCCCTCTCTCGGTCTCCGCGTCTATCCGCGCCTCCACTAGTTGAACGCCTGGCACTCCCCGAGTGCCTGTATCGGGCAGGACTTCCGATATCTTCGAAATTTACGCAGAGTGGAGACTACGAGAGAGTAGCGATTGCCGGCTAGCACGCACCAGGGTCGAGGTTCGCAAGTAGGATGCGGAGAATCTCCTCACGGCAGGAGGCGGTTCGCGAATGACTGGAAATCGAGATGCGTTAATTAAGACGTTTATTAACGTCACGCGTTTACCCTTGAGGGCAACGCTCACAATAGGTGGCCTTCGATAACAAATTCGCTAACAATTTCGTCCAAAGATTCGGTACACGTTGCAATACAAACTATTTAACAAATGATTCAGCTACGACGCCTCCGCGAGATGGTATGCGCGGTACGCTACTTGTTGAGGAACCCCGAGGAAATCCGCCCGCCCGCTACTCGCGGTCGAGCTCGCGAACTCTCAACTCCTCACAGAAGGTGAGAAGTCGACCGATGTTAATTCGTCTCGAATCTACCGCAATCAATTACAGAATCACCCGAAATAGATGAAGTGGCTTACCGCTTACAGCTGTTCTTTCTGACGTAGCCCAGTACTCCCGCTCGTTCGCATTCGCAACGACCACAACTATTACGAGAGAGATAGACTACTATTTAGTACTTTGCTCGTGCGTAACCGAATGATCTAGCGCGGATTTCGGTAATCAGCCGTAACGTTCGGCGGTACCACCCGTTCCCCGTTACTCCACCGTTCCGTTCCCCGTGCCCCCGCCGCGAGTCTCCCCTGGAGTATATGCCAGTTTTCAGATGCGCCGTGTCTCTGTCGATTCAGACAGTGCCTATTGCAACGTAGCCCCCATAGGCGAGTGATTGAGATACGCTCAATACGAGTCAATAAGTCGACACCTGGGTGCGAGCCCGAGACGTATCCACGCTGATTGGTGCGAGACCTTTCTAAAGCTCTACCCTCTCTGGTAGGACGGTGCCCGGTTGTTTTCACTGTAACTCCACGGCGGGTGTGTAAGCACACCCTACCCTGCACTATTGGGGTTACCAACTGCCACCACGAAGGTCCAACCTCAAACGGCTGGGCGGGAATGCCGAGAGTAACCCCAGCATATCACTGGGCTTGAGCCCAGCCCCCATGGTACCATTTAGGGAATCGTCTTCCCATTGAGCGAACCAGCGTTCGCTCTACCAGTCTAGTTATCTGGCTTCATGACACTGGCCAGACAGCTCGGGAGGGATGACCCGGGATCGCCAGTTCCCGTATGCCCACTTGTGGACACCCCTGGGTATAGCCTAGGATACCTCGGGGTTGCCAGGCCTGTGCCGCTACGACCGATAAATTGGCGTGCGCCCCCACGAGGATGCGAGCTCGGGTACCTCGAGGTCGCTAACACCAGTACCACGTTCCACGATTCTGGCATCACTGATTGGGAGACGCCGAGTAGGGCATAGTGGGGTAGAGCTCACGGATAGGGTAGAATATGCTTGTATGGAATACCCACGGGATGCATGGAGAGGATAAGCGCTCGCGCGGTTATCCCACAATTCTGGCATCGCTGATTGGAGCACATCAATGTACCGTTTCCTGGACAAGGCCGCCTCTAGACCCCCAGCAGCAGTACTTGAACATGAGTCTACTGTGTTTTCCTTCGGTATTAATACAACACTGGACACGGCTATCCAATGTATAGATAGATTTTTGGAGACCTGATTCGGAAATGCCATCGTAGCGAATCCCTTTCATTGTAATTTAGAGTCTTGAAAATAGGTACAGTAAATTCGCGATGAGTGTTCGAAGACCCGTCAGCACTGACCAGGAGACGTCTCCAGGTGTAACGCTAACTTTTTAATAAGGTTTACCACAGTGATAAAGATTGGAATTCTGAAGCCAATGGCATTCGTTTCAGCCGCATATGTCCATTATTTTATGAAATATTTAATGTTCAATGCCGAGGAGTCGTGGAAAAATTATCGAGGAGTTGCTGTAGCGATCACAAGGAGCCGAATCAGGTGAATACGGTGAATGAGCAAACACTGCTGTTTACTTCTTGGCCAACATTTACAGACGGTCGGATACGATAAACAGGTGCATTATAATGTGCAAATCTCCAGATCCATTATTGGTTGACCGTGTCCAGTGTTGTATTAATACCGAAAGAAAAGACATGGTAGTCCACCTAACTTTATCAGAGAACAAGTTGCTTGTTTTGGACAATATTACAAAATGTTTGGCATACAAGTTGAATGGTTTCCAGGGGACACAATTTGACATGATTACTTTTTTCGTAGGTGGAGACGCAGAGGACATATGAAGGGCAGTCTTATATTTTTATGGAATTATTTATTTTTTAAAGCATTAGTCGACGCGGCTTGTTATTTCCTATAAAATGGTATTAAGCTATTTATGCCAAAAAATCAATTCTTTAGATGACATTTTAATTTCAAGATGGCAAAGTGGGACTAATAATACGATGTTTACCTTCTTAAGGCTGATGTTCACAAGTCCATCTATAGACGTTGTGGGTAACTTCAAATTAAAGTATTTCCAACACTAATGGTTTTTCGGTATAGATAGGTTAATAATATTTTGTTGAGAATGTCCAGTTGGATTAACTAATGTATTAAGAAATATATACATGAATTTATTGTTCCCCTAAGAGTTGCAATTCCTTTACATCTTGTCTCTTGCTTCTAGCCTTAATCTACGTATCCTACATTTTATAAAAATTCTCGTTCTCTTAACCTACCCCGCTAGTACACACACACACACACACCCTCTTTCTTTTTCTTTTTCTTTTCCAGTAACTACCGGGCCGCTTTGGATGCAGCCGGGGACCCCACCCCGACTGCATCAGTGGCCCCGGCGGACGCGCGCGCGAAGGCGGGAGCCACAGGAGCCGAAGTTCCGGCTCCCGATGTCCACGCACGCGTCCGCCCATACACTGACCCCGACCCCGCCTCGCTCTCCTCCTCTCTCTCGGGAGCGAGAGGTCTCCCCCTATTTCTAAACGGAGCGCCCGCCTCTCCCAGGCAAAGGCCGGGCACTCCTCCAACACGTGCTGCGCGGAGTCAACCTCCGCGCGCACTGGTGGCACTCTGCCGTCGCCTCGGCTCCAACCCTCTGCAGGTACCCCCCGAAGCATCCGTGCCCGGTGAGCACCTGCGTGAGCCGGTAGGACACACACCCCCCCTTCCCTAACCTGGACCACCGCTTCTGCTCGTCTGTAGAGAGAGTAGTCTCATTCTCATCTCTTCTTTCATCCAATCCTCATTCTCACACATTCTTCTCTCCTCTCTTCCACTGTCCCCATCCATTCCTCCCCCTCGTCACCTTACACTTCAATCACCACCTCCTGCCACCCCCTTCTTCTCCCCATCCCATGCATTCTTCCTATAGAAGTTCCCACGTTTCCTCTCTCCATCCACATATCCTGCACCTCCTTCATTCTTCTTTCATCCGGTACCTCCCTTCCCTCTTCCCACTTCCCAATCTAAACCTCGCCACCCTTTGCCATCTACGTTCTCCCCTCCCTTTTTTAAATATTCCGGTATCCCTTTTCCTTTAATCTCTCTATACCACTTATTATATTTTGATTCTCCTATCCTTTTCCACCTTTCCTCATCCTGTATTCTTTTCTCCCTTTCTTTCCCTCTTTCCTTCTATCTCCTCCACTGTCCATCCCCTTTCCTCAAAATACTCTTTCCTTTCCTCTTCCCATCCCTCTAGTGCCTCACCCCTTTAGGTATTGCTCTAGCTTCCCTATCATCCCTTCCATTCCCTTTTCGTCTTCCGCTACCATGGCTATAGCATCGGCATATGCTAACGTATAAACCTTATTTCCCCCAAGCTTTGTCCCCCCCCCCACCTCCCTTTTTCCAGCTCTTCATCCATATCCGCCAGAAGTATAATAATAAGCTCGGACTGAGCGGGCATCCCTGCCTGAGCCCCCTTGACGTCCGGAACCTCTTCCCTCCACCTTCCACGCTCTCACCCTACTCACCGTTTCCCTTAATATCTCCTCACATCTCCCCACTAGTCCCTTCTTTCCTCATTACCCTCATTCGCACTTCTCTGTCCACCAAGTCAAACGCGGCCTTGTGATCTATAGACATTACAACCATTCTCCTTTCTTTTCTCTTTACTTGCCTATTGATCAGGTAGTTTAACACATATACGTTGTCTATACATGCCATTCTCTTCCTAAACCCCGTTTGACTCGGTGACAACAGCTTCTACTTTTCCACCTCATCCCTTAGTCCTTCTGCTAACACTGACTCGTACACCTTATACACCGTCTGTGTTAGCGTAACCCCTCTATGCTCTTCTACCTCCTTCCCCTCCCCTTTCTTTATAATCGGTACCAACACTCCCTCTTTCCGTTCTTCTGGCCATCCTTCCCCTTTCCAAACCTTATTGCATAGCCTCCATAGCCATTCCTCTATCTTTTCCCCACCATGTTTCCACACTTCATTGGGGATGTACTAAGAAATATAAAATTCCATTTAAAAAAATTTTAATGACCTTCATACGTTCTCTAAACGCGTTCACCTACAAACAAAATAATTATGTCAAATTATGCCACCCTCGAAACCATTTAATTAATTTCTGAAACATTTTTTAATATTATTAAAAACAAGCGAGATTTTTACGTTGATAGATTTATGTAGACCGTCCATTATTGTACTTTGAATAAAGTGAACGATTTTTCGAAATATGATTAGTGTTTAAATTAATGTATTGCCCATCCTGTTATTTTTCAGACATACTGTGTCGTCATAGTCAATACTGAAATAATTGAAAGCGATCGAAGAAATAAGAATATGTCGTTTTGATTGTACAGGTATGATGACATCGAGTGATGGCGGTGGTATGAGGGATCGGTTCACGGGCGGTTCTACTTCCGCCCTGAGCTGCGGGGGTGAGAAGCTCAGCGACGACAAGCAAGGAAGAATAGGAGACTACAAGCCAAGGATTAGAAGGGAAAGGGACGAAGACACAAAAAGTGCGGATAATGTTTCCAGGAGCGGTTTGCCTTGTAGACAAAGTCTCTTAGAACTAGTCAGTGGCAAATGTATGAATCGCCACATGCCCATGCAGCATTACCATCAGCAACAACAGGTTAGTTTTATTACTGTTATCCTAGTATTTCTCGGTGATTGTGTTAGATTCCGTGAATATTTTCTTACGTACAACTTATGGAAACAGAATTGTTTTTTCTTGAGTTTGGTATCGTTATTAATACGTACACACCATTAAATATGGTTTATGAAAGAATTTATCAGTCATTTTTTAATTTTGTGTTAACCCATGACGATAAGCCTCATTTAATTGTGCACTCGGTTGTAACTAAATTTACGTACGTATTATAATGATACAATTGGGCATATAGATGGATCCCTTGTATCGAAATACGTCTAAATATGAACGACACTTTTTATTCATGACTTCATTTTTTAAGAAAATGGTTTTAACCTTCCATAGGCAAATATATCTATTCACGCTCCGTAGACAAACTTGGTTTGTGCATGTCAAAACTTAATTTCTTTTACTATTTTAGGCCTCCAAAAAATCCTGATATACTTATTACAGTCTGCGCTACATACGTTATACATACATTTTTTAAATCATATGTATGAAACTTTTGTCAGTGAAAATAAAAATTCGGAGAAAAGTCCTGGAAAAATGAAATTTTGTGTGGGTCGAAAACGAAGGGTTAAAACTTTATCTAGTATACAGACATCAGGTCAGAGGTGGACAAAACGTAGGTTCTAAAATGGTAAATAGTAAACAACTTATTTTATTTGAAAACGTCTGTAAATTTATGGAAATATAATATTTTAAGTGTTTTACTGTATAGTATTTTACAATCTGTTTTAAACTAGTTTCAATGAGTTACTTCTCTTACACAAATAGGTGTGTTTCATTGTCGTCATTATGAATATTAAACAATTGAAAAAACATTTACTTAAAACATGATCATTGGTCTAATTGTTTCCATCCAATTTCATAATGACCTTGAAATTTTGCATGTTATACCATTTTAATTCATTAATTATTTTGTTGAATATAGTAAGAAGTATGATATTGTAGAATATACGAGGTGTTCATTCTAACGGTATCCACGATTGTTTAACCGCTTGCAACAACGTAAAAAAAGTTTAATTATTATATTGAGAAGAAAAGTGTTTAGAATGAAGAACATTTCTAAAGTACGAGGAGTGTTTCCAAAGTTTTACGAATTGTAATCTGGATAAATAATGAACGGATTGTGACTAATGTGTTCAGGTACAGACAAGTTCTGATAGGTTTCCCCAACGATGTTAGTCAATACTGATCAGAATGGTTCAACCGCGTTATGAATGCAGACGTGTATCTTAAGTGGTAATTTTGCAACCATGGAAGATGCTATAAATTCTCGAAGAGCCATTATTTTCTTAACAATTAGTTTTAAATTAATTACGCTGAGAATTACTCCCATATCCACATTACTCACCTGATCTCCCTAGTAGCAATTACTGTTGGCATTTTGATGGGCCTTTGATGCACTATTGGTTGGCCAACAGTTAGAATTGTCACCCTTTTTTGCAACTGGATCAACAATCATACTCAACGTAGAGCCCACGTCACTATACTACGAAGGACCAACTCGAGGTTTCTTTCGGTAGAGCCAATTGTTGAGTATCTACAATAAACCAATAGTAGGAAGACAGTTGGCTATACTACACTTCCATAAACTCCTTTATAAATATTTGAAGGAGTATAAGACTGGAAATAATAATTATAACAATTTCTTGTTATAATAATTATATACGTGTATAAATTATATATGTATATTAAACAGGTAAACAAGTGTTTTACCAGCAAAGTTACCTTTAGAATTTATTATGTACAATTTATACATGTAGCTAATTATTACAAATAATTATTATAAGTTATTTCCAGTGTTCTGTCCCCTGACTCAATTTTCACAAAATGTCAAATGTCAAACGTGTTACTCGACACTATATTCATAAATAAGAAAACAAAAAAATCAATTTGTAATGTAATAACAAGTTTTTAATTGTAGCAACGTTTCTGACGTCTTTAAGACGATATTTAAATGTTGGCAAACTTTGGGTGGGCCAATGTTGTATTATCATTGTAAATTTCTTGTTAATTAACCAACTATAGTAACTGTAGGCCCAACATTGGATATTCGTTGGCAAATTGTCATAACTTTTTCGTCGTAGGCCTTATTTTGTGAATATGTAGAAAAAAACACTAATTATATTCTAACTAACTCCCAACTGTTGGGTAACGGTGGCCAACCATAAATGATACTAGGGCGGACACCCAGCGGCTATCATTTGTTCCAAAAATTGAAAAAGATCTACGTGGTGTGCGATTTTAGGACTTAAGTGATGTAAAACGTGCCGCAAACCAATGGGTAAAAGAGATTCCCAAGTTTTCTTGTAGGTGGCTTAAAAAGCTAGATTCGTGCTGAATCAAGTGTATACAGTTACACGGAAATTATATTGAAAACTTATAGTATTCTACATGAAAATTAATCAAATAAAAAATTTATAATACAATTCGCAGAACTTTGCAAACACTCTTCGTATATGTTTTTCATAGTGAACCAAAAGTTACTTTGAGTTTTTCAAATGGAGCCACATAATTTTTTCCCATTATATTGTAGGGGACACTAAGCGGATTCAACTAGCAGAAACCGCAGCAGTTGCAATGGAAAGCGCGCGATGATTTCGATTGTGTGCTTCCTTTCGTTCTAGCACTTCCATTTCTCTAAATCTATAATTATTTGAATAAAAGTGTCCTATTTTGTAATAGATAAATTTGTGTTAATGTCAGCGACAATATAATGGAGAAAAAATTGTATAATTCCATTTAAAATACATAAGGTCACCTTGAGTTCATCATGAAAAACATGTATTTTCCTAATGTTTGTTAGCGTTATACGTTGTCTCCTTAAAACAGATAAATTTCCGTTGATAACTTTTTTTTTTTATTATATTGCTGCAAACGGCTGGAAAATAGTATATGGAGAATAAATTGTGCTTATTAGTGTGCATTGAATATAGGCTAACGAGTAATTGAGTAATTTTTCAAAATTTAATATTAGTTTCTAATAAAATAAGAACCACATGATTACTTATTGATATCTGTCGTTCACTGCATTCTGTTTATTTTACATGTGTGGCAAGATATATTGCATTGATACTATATCATTATTTTATCATAAAAATAGTGATGTTTTGTAATTACAATTAATTGGAATAGACATTAATCATATTCTAGTTAGAATATTATATAATTCTAAGGAAAAGTACCCGTAACATGTTTTGATTCACGATGGTTTTAAGTATGCAGTGTAATTTATAACGCGGATAAAGATACATCGTTCGTTGTATTGTTTACGCGAAATTGTGTAGCAGTTGTAGACTCCGGAACACGAGAAAATAAAGAAATAGGAATTAGGTTAGAAAAGTAATCTAGCAATGTTTGTATGTATTGTATACTCCGTGGGGTGTTTTTCAGGATACTGTGTTTAAAATATTCCGCTTAAATAGATAATTCATTTGCAGTGGTAATACGAAGAAATGCTGACTGTATGTAAATAATTCATTACCCACGTTTCACGCGAGATAAAAGTACAGCCAATTTAATCACAAATTATTAGTTTCATGAAAAATAACACAGGCAGCGATATTTTAAAGTCTCTGTTCGATATTTTTAAATGAAATAATTTTATGCATTCGAAGCGAGTTTTGCTACTAGTAATAAGGAGAATGTGAAACGTGTGTTTATTTAAAGAAATACAAAGATAAGCGGGTTATACAGTGCAAATTGCATTATAATGCATAGGTCTGGTATGGATTTCATTACTACAAACCTCATTTTCTAATAAAATTTTTTCAAAAGTCTTTTGACATCTCATGGGTTCCATTCTATTTTTATTTCCAAATACTTATTTCACTGTTTCAAAAAATGGGTAACTGATCAATTTTAATGTTTATAAGTTACAAACGAATTAAAGTCGTTTACTTAGCTTGGATAAATATTTTGTAAAAAAAGTGTGATTCTTTATTAATAATCGAAATGTTTACTGCATTTTAAATTTTTTGTAGAATATGTAGTTTCAAACAATATTTATAAAGAAACAGTTTTTCCAGATATAATGAATTTAAGTTACTTTGAACCCTTTTCATTATTTGGCACGTGTTTTAATAAATGATGAATCTAAATCAGGTACAAACCTCGTACTTTTTTGTTTAAAATTCATTTTTGTTATGATTGTATGGTAATTTGTGCAAATGCATGAAAAGAGAGATGTGTTGTGTCGACAGTGGTGGCCATGCGCGCCTAGCGTTTCCGTTACGCTGCGCGGGCAGCCAAGGCGACCGCCGTCATTCAGTACCACTGTCGGCGCCGCGTGTTTTGCTGAACTATTTCGCTTCCCTGTTTAAAACAAAACAGATTTTGTTACTTTCCTTCACACTTTCCTGAGCAGAAAGGCTTGCTCTATCTCGTCCTATGGTTAGATTTTCTCCTAGACTTTTAGTTTTTGAAGTAACTTAAGTGGTGCATTTTCGGTGTGCTTTTCATTTTGAACTTTATTTAAACATATTTAGATGTCTATAATCTAATAACAATTTATATCATTTTGTTCGCAAGAGTCCAGAAAATTAATTCGTATAAAAAGAAACTAAATAACTATTACTGTAAAAGCACAACATAGCTCCAAAGTTGAAAATTTGCAATTTTCTTCAAATTTGATTTTTTCAAAAACTGAACGTGCTGGAAATAAACGGTTTGCAGATTCATATTTAGCTAATAAAGGTCTATCGGGGACGCTTATTGACAATTGCAAAAACAAAAACAAGTTAAAATTTGTTGAACAGTGTTATCGATATTTCTCTTAAAGGCAATTTTTTTTAACTTTTATATAGAATAAAGGGATTTTAGCAACCTATAACAATATTTAACTTCGATCATTTAATCTCAAAATATTTTATCAATTTTCGGCAATACTTTGGAATTCTAACTTTTCCAATTGCATTTATTTTTTCTGTAGTATTCACGCTTCGACTTATTCTATTTTTTAGGGGCATTCTATATAA